GGCCGCCTTTATAAAGAAATGTATAAAGAAATATACTATAATATAAGACAGGTCAGTAATGTTATACTTTTATTTTTTGATTATATTTTTGTAATAATTTATTTAAAAATTAAAAATTTTGTGAAGGGTCACTTAATTTAGATATCTTTTATCATCTCACAGAATATATGATCTTTTTTTTTATTAATTTTTATTATAAACTCAGACTATATGTATACCTCTGAGAAGGTAGTTTTTACAACGATATACACAATTTACTTTCTATCTTTAAGAATTTTCAGTGGTCTGTATTTTAATAGTTCTTTTATTTTAGATGATAATGATAAGTGATGTACCAAATTAAAAAAGTCGAAGTTACCTCAGATCTACACTCCAAGGCTGATAAAGTACCTATTAAAAGAAAACAGGTGTCAACTAGAAAGCTGTCATTCAAAGATACTGAAGATGATGAAATCGTAAAGCATGCTTGCCCACCCCCAATTAAAATTAAATCTACATTTTAGGTATGTTGTGTCAGTTCCTCTAATATTCTTTTGTCATTTTATTCCTTTTGGTTTCTTGCTCATGACTTTTTTATTTACCAGTGCGAATTTTGAAAAACATGGATGATCAATCTATATAACTGTTTATAGCATTGACCATATCAAATAACCAGGCCCACAGTGTTGCCATATTCTAACCTGTCAGTGGCCTGTCATTTCAAACGGGTCTTTGGTCTGAAATGCCTAATACAAAGTAATAATAAAATTATGTTTAAAACTTTTCGAAAAGTACTTTGTTTATTACTTTATAGATGATGTAATAAAAATATTTAATTATTATGTACTACAACAATTCAATTAAAATGGTTAAATAAGTCGTCGGATATGACTGGAAATAAATTAAAGAAGTGCTTTTTAAAGTGTATGGAAGGAAATGTTATGTAAATAAGGTAATTTTTTATATTTTTTTTTGTGGATTTTAATTAGACAGTTGGCAACACCGCGTATATTTGAATTGACATAGCAGATATAATTCTAAATTCTAATGAATAAGTTTACAATAAATCACTTAATGGTCCTTATAAGCCTTTAATATGTAATTTTTTTTAAACAACAATTTATGGGGTTTCCGGTGGCATATTTATACACTCCTTCCTAAAGCCTAAAATGTAAGTTTTGTAAAAAAAAATTGTATTTTTAAGAAAAGGGCGTCTTCGCAATAATTACTGAAAAAATATTGTATGCAACATATGCATAAATTATCTTTTTTTACTTATTGAATTGCCGCACTCGCCTCGCGGCTCGTGCGGTCAACTTATTTATTCGTGAAAAAAGTACCACTTTATGCACTTGTTGCATAAATTACTATTTCCGTCGAACGACCATTTATGATATATTTTAACGCATTCAAAATCGTTGATTAATGACCCCTATTAATGAATGATTTTCTATTAATCAACGATTTTATAATATGCAACCCAACGTACATTGCTATTATTATAAATTTATATTGACAGTTACCTGGGGTGTAGGCAACAAAACATAGATATACATTGGAAATCAAGACGGTGTGTTAATTCTGTCTGTCATTGTATGTCATTATTTAATTTCTTAAAAGTAAGATATCTTTATTTTTGGTAAAGTACGGTCGACGAAAAAGTTCTGTAATGAACTCGTAAATTAAAATGGCGATTAACAATCTCGAACATTAACGCGCGAGCAGAGCGATTGTTAATCGCCCTTATTAATACACTTGTGCGTTAAATAACCATTAAATTTCGTCTGACTATTTTTAAAGAACTCTTTTATTTATTTTGCTTAAATCACATCAAAGTTTATTCTAAATGTACACAATTTAGTATGAACATTTCAAAATATTTGTGTTCTAACATAGATATTTCTAGAATATGATAAAAAATTATTTCAAGTTTTATGGCGATTTTTAAAGTACATTTTTATTTATTTTGCTTAAATCGCATTGAAGGTTAATCTATTTGTGCACAGTTTAGTATAAACATTAAAAACTCATCATAAATCCATTGCAAAATGACAACAAGTAAGTGTGTTTTAATGCCTTGTTATTTACATTTCAAACTGGCACGCTTTGAATCTTGGCCCTGATTGGACTAGAGTTACGAGGCAACCTATAATATACAAACCTTGACTTGTTACCAATATACTATAAAAGGATGGGGCAGCACTGTCACCAGTCATAGGATCCTGGAGTTCTGAATGAAAATCCATTTTCACCTGGTAAAAAAAAAATACAAAAAAAATATAAAAAATAATCCCTTGATAGCATATTTGAATGGTTTTGGCAACTGGTTAAATACTCTGATAGTCCTTAGGAGTAGGGTCGCCGAGGTTTCACAACTGTCCTTAGTATTTTAATAACTGGTTTGGAAAGGAAGAAGGAAATAAAGGAGCGGCTAAATGCTGACCGGCGTGCACAGATTATTTATTTTACTTTTCGTCAGAGGGCGCAGCTACTGCTGATCATATTGTCAATTGGTGAACAAATATGTTTGAATTTGAATTGTGTTGTTAATGTTAAAGTGCCATTTCTTATCTGCATTATCAGTTATTACCTGCACCTGTTTAGATAATTTAAGACGAAATACAATACGCAAACATATTCCTTTTGCTAAATATGCCAGATAACAATTCTGAAGAAGCTGATGGTAAATATAAACAAAATAAATGTGATGAAGACAAGGCTGAAGTAAATACACATTTAGAGTATTTGGGACAAAATATTTCAGCAGAGGCAACAAGTTTAGGCACATTAAAACATAAAATAAAAATTAAATAAATGATATGCAGAGCAAATTAGAAAATTCCTCTGATGAAAATGTTCTCAGGCAAGTTTCTTAATATTTGAAGAATGCTAAACTATGACAACAGCATTAGCAGAGTCGATATTCCTTGTGTAACCTCTGCAGAAATTAATGAGCCACCAAATAAAAAAATTAAAAAACAGCTGGTCTTCACCTCAATAAAAAAAGCAAAAGGGCAATAATTATCAAAAAAAAATCCAATTTAAATGAAAACGAAATTATTAGAAGTACTCTTAGCAGTTCTTTAGTTATTAGTAAAAGTAGTGACAATGATCAAAATTATTTTTAATTTCTAATTTAAGGTTTTTGATTTTTTTTTTTTAATATTAGTTGATATAGATTATGTTCCTTTTCCTAGTTAAATACTTTTTTAACTTAATCTGTAACGTATTTTATTTAAGGCAAGAGAGGTAGAATTGGTATTATTATGACCTATCACTTTTTATTTTCCTAATTATTATTATTTTTTATGTTCCGACATCAATAGAGGTATTGAATGTTTCAATAAATATATATTCATATTGATAGCAACGAAAAAATCTTTAATACATTCAAATATAAACTTTAATGCATATCTTTCGTCTAAGACATATTTATACTATGTAGAATTTGTGAGTGATACTCGCTGATCCGTAATGGTACCACTTTATTATTCTAATGTATGCTATACTATTTGAAACTTTAATTTGTATTTAATTTTTACCTCATTTGTAACATTTTTAATATTGTGTTATATAGGTTATTTAGGTCTTATATGTTTGTACATTTTTAAATTTTTTTTATTCGAATGTGTCAAAAAACGTCGTTATTCGGACAGAAAACAGTCGAAAAGTAGAACTTTTGTATGTACTTCATAAAGTACTTTGGGGTCTATTCTGTAACAATTCCTTTATATTTAACGGCCTTTAAAAATATTTTATTCTTTACTTCTGTCATTATTTAAACGAATCTTTAAAATACATTAGAGGACTATCTTAAAGAAATCTGTTTAAATAATGACAGAAGTAAATTAACGAATACGAACATATGTTTAAAGGCCGACAATATTTTTAAAGGCCGTTAAATATAAAGGAATTTTTACAGAATAGACCCCTCTATCGGCCATGCCTTCCCCTGCTGCTACAAGAGTATTATTCATTGCACAAAAGGAGCAATTAGGCTTATTTTTATTCTAGACTCGAGACATACATGTAGAAATCATTTTATTAATCACCATATACTCACCCTACCCTCAATATATATTTATTAGACAATTCTATACCCAAAAAAGAATGAAACTCAATTTTTTAGAGACAATGATTGTCACAACTATTATTTCTATATTTTAATAAATTGACTATAATGATTTAGTGTTTTAATATACCATCAAAACCCAATATTATTATTTTAATTACTAACAAATTTGTAGTGATTTTATTTTTTAAAATAAATGAGTGAACTACTGATACATTTTATATTGGTTATTTTATTTATACCTACCAATAAATTCCTAATTAATGGGTTATTTATTAACTCATGTCTAACCCAGAATTAATAACAATAAAATATAATTTAAAATACAATTATTTTTGACGCACTGTATAGCGTGCAAGTCAAAATTATCAATTTAAAAAACCGCGCTCAAATACACGCCATCTAGCGGAAAACACAAAAAATAATATGTGCACTCTGGTCAGCATTTAGCCGCTCCTGGAAATAATAAGGGAATAAAGAGTAATTTATTTTAATATACTTTTTAATTTTATGTATTTTATTAATTGAGTGCCTATCCTTAAGGGTGTGAATCCTTGGGTGATTTTAAAAAGTTAATATTAGTATATGTCGTAAACTTCTTAATTTTTGAGCTACAGGGTGTCACAGTTTTAAGAAAAAAGTCACTTCTTGTTTATCATCATTTTTTTATCACTCCAGATATTTTTATGAAATTTTGTACACACCTTCTAATAATTAAGAAGGATTTTTTGACGCAAAGGATTTTTCAATTTTTACCACTGACGTTCGTACGGGGTTTGCACTGTATATTGTTGAAGAAAAAGTGGTATGCCACATTAAACCAAATTTGTTCCAAAATAAATAGGGATTTCAAAAATAATTTTGGCATACCATTTTTTACTGTCAAATATTTTTATAATTATTATTTATTCGTTTCCGATTTAATTAAAAAATTATGTTATTTAAATAGGCGGCACTAATTTTCAACATTTCACTTGATACACCACTGTTGAAAGATGGGCCCCAACAATGCGTGTGCGGCGGCAATGGTGCCAGATCAAAAATTGAAGCCAGCCTTGACGAGAGGCAGTACAATAATGCTGAGCTAGGCCCTTCATGCAGGGGCTACTTCAACTCCGAATTTCGCATTCTTTTGTCTCCGAACACGAGTCTTTCGCCGTTCTTTTCTACTTAGCTTTCACGTTCGGGCAGCCTGCTTGGTATAACCAGATTGACACTTCACTTTTTCACGTTTTATGCAAAGAAAAAGAATAAGTATACTTATAATAAGTACAAGATTTATCTATGGCTGATAATGCTGCATCGAGATAAAAAAATGTATTTTAAGTCATGAAATGTATCTCGACAGTAAACATATTTTTTTCTATGATATTACTATCCAAAGTGGTGTAACATTTATTTGTTTGAACAGTTTGTTGTTTAGTTTATTTTCACTAAGACACTAATTGGTTTTATAATTCAATTTATTTGTACTAAATACAAAAATAATTTATATATTTATTCGATAGAACAATATCTTATATAACTTAACGCAAACGGCAAAACTTAGTTAACTTACATATGCGGCGCACCAGACATGCACTCGAATATTCCAGACGTCCTTTGACTAGGAATCACTGCTTCTGGTATCGGCCCCTCCACCAGAATTGTTGTCTTCAGAAGTTTCGTCAGCATTCATTGACAATTCCAGTATATTCTAGAATTGACATTTTACTTTAGCTGATGACGAGCATGGGTGTCTCATAGAGGTTCCAAAGGTTTTTTATCTATAATTTTTACGACGGGAAAATGGAGACCGTAAAAGGTCCAAATAAAGTAGACAGGAATTTAACGGATTTTTTAAGGGGACCAAACTTGTCGAAAATGCCTCGAATGACAGTAGGTTTTTTGAACTTTGAAATCTTACTGAAAAATAGAGGTTATCCGTGAACTGGCAGCAATTTTAAAACGCTCTCTTTAATTTAATTAAGTATAATATACAAAGCGTTCCGAGAACAAGTTATTCGAAAATTGTAAAATGGAAAAGAAATCTTGAGTTCTATCTTTTAAGGTATACTTGAGATTGGTGACGTCATCACTGGCGCTATGACGTCATCGCATTAAAAAAATTAAAAAGATAGGGGGAATAAAAGTTAGCAGAAATGAAAGGGTTTTTTATTCCAAATTTAATGGTGTATAAAAATTTTAATCAAAAGTTTTGAGGTGTACTTGAGATTAATGACGTCGTCACTGGCGATATGACGTCATTGCTTTAAAAATAATTAAAAGGGTGGAGTGAATGAAAAAAATAAAAGGGTTTTTTATTTCAAATTTAATGGTGTATCACAGCAACAGAAACAAATATTGCGAAGACCTTTCAGACAAGGTATAGAAAAGGCCTCTAATGAAAATGAAGACCGTCAAATTACTTTTGGAACCGCTGTGAAAACACGAGAAGAAACTCTATTCCCAAAATTTCGCAGAACAGCTTAAATGCCACAAAGTTTTTTTAATTGTAGAAAATAAACGCAAGAGAGTCCAGTTTGCAAATTAATATTTAATTCAAGGGCAAGAAAGTTTGGAACAACGTGGTATTTCTCGATGAAAAGTCATTTCAATCTTTTAACAGCGTATGGCTATGGGTTTATCGTCCTAAAGGACTGTTAATAATTATATTAGAACAAAAATCCTGGAGAAGGTGCTCCATCACAGCCAACATGCGTACCGAGCAGGAAGATCTACAGAAAGTGCCATGGTACAGCTGACTGATGAAATCTAGGACGCACTGACATGTGTGCCTTCTTAGACGTAGAAGGAATATTTGACAACATGCCACACGATTATGTCACTCGCATAAGGAGATGTAGGTAGCACCACATCCAGATGGATATCTCAGATGCTATCTACAAGAACTTCAGAGACACAGATAGGGAGGACACTATATCCATTTGCACAACCAGAGGATATCCACAAAAAGGAATTATATCCCTACTAATGTGTAGCCTAGCCGTAAACGAACCTTTATGCGGATTGACTGACCTCGGCATACCAAGTCGACATAGTCATATTTGCTAATGGCAAGTTTGGAAAACATCTTGTGTCCAAAAAAGACTGGAACACATTAAATCATAGTTCTACGAGGTGGGACTAAGTATAAACTCCACCGACACAACAGTATTAGCCTTTTCAAGAAAATGAAAACTAAATCTCAAAACCGACATATTAGACAGGATAGATATAGAATGGAAAAAGAAGTCAAATATTTAGGTCCAACCCTGAACAACAAACGTCTCTGGAACATGCATGAGAAGGAAATAGTAAATATGGCTAAGAAACCCCTGATGGTATTCAGAAACTTTAATATAGCAGTAGTGAGACCACTTACAAGGCAGTAGCCTGGAATAACAGAACGTGTTTAGCTACTACGAGAGCTAATATCTTAAAACTATAAAGACTAGCCTGGGTTTGCCTCACCAGTGCAATGAGGACCTGTCCTACGGCCGCATTGGAGATGATTTTAAACCTCACTTCTCTACATTTAATGATAGAGAGCGTGGCAAAACTCGAAGGGCAAAACAGACATACAAACAGATCAGGAACGGAGTCATCAGACGAAAGTCAGCTTCAGAGCTAAATATACGTACTTGCGATATGCACCAAGACGAAATTAGGAAAAAGTACATTTTTGTCTAAAACTTCAAAAATCACAGAGCTAGGTCTCAAGAAAAAATGGAGCCAAGAATTCATCATGCTTGCAATCGAAAGACATGCTATTCAATCGTAAACAGATGATTCCAAAACTGAAAGAGTGCATAGGCCTAGAAACAGACACTTTAAGACTTTGGAGAAATACCCAAGCATCTTTCAGGCCATTGAGAAGAGTATCCAGTTCAACATCGAGAGAAACTATTGCAGGCAAGAGATTACTATCATGTCTGAAGGCCAAGCAGCCTTGAAAGCGCTGAATTCTTACGTAATTAGACTAAAAATGGTCTCAAGATGCCATTGAAAATAGAATGAGCTGGGAGAGTAAAATAAAGTTACTATCAATTGGGTTCCGGGACAAAATGGGGTGAAGGTTTACGAAATTACAGATAGTCTCTCAAGGAAAGGGGCTCAAACATCTTTTGTGGGACCTGAGCTGTTCTGCGGTACTAACAGTAACACAATATTAGGAGAGATTAAAACGAATTGAGCAGTAGAAGAAACGATAATTGGAACAATCTGTTAGGGCTAAGACAGGCTAAGATACTTCTGGGTGAATATAACCAGAAAAGATCAGAAGTCTGTATCTGCCTTGGTAAGAACAGGCTACGCATTGTAATAGGGAACCTTGCCGGGCATTGCTGACTCAAATAACACCTTAGTAAACTGAGAGTAACAGTGAGTGCAGATTCTGTGAGGAGGACGAAATATTCATTTACTTTTTGACTGAATGTGTAGCACTCCAGAATTCAAGGACACTATTATACTAAGGAGCACACCAAATAGAAGCCACTTGTAGCCACTTCTAATCTTACACTTCTTTAAGAATTTGGGATTGGAAGGCTCATTATAGGCATCGAGACTATGTCGTTTATTAGCGACAGAAGGGGACACAATAGAGCTTTTTGGATCGCAGTACATTAATATTTCGTACACAAAATAACATAACATCGTCCTAGAAACTCAAGATTCGTAGATAATTATACGTTGGGTACTAATAATAGTGGACGCTTTTCCGTGAACATGCGTTAACAACCTTGGAATGTTCTGGTAAATTAATGGATGATTAACGGCCGAGCATTACATAAACTTCTTAGAAAACGTGATGTTCCATTAGCAAGAGAAGTTTTTTTTGACAATTTTACATTTCAATATGTATGAAGTCAATTTGCTATGCTCGTAAATGTTTATAATAATTAATTTTTATTACAGGATATTTCTCTAGGCTATACGGCTGGAATAGTTAGAGAGTTAATCAATACCAATAATAACAACAACAACAACAACAACAACAACAACAACAACAACAACAACAACAACAACAAATGTTTTGCCATGGTCAGCATAAAGTTCTGAAAATGTCATAGTCAAAAAGATAGATCAAAGTGACTTTAGGCCAGCAAACCGCGGTTAAATATGGGAAGTTATTGAATATGACTGGGATGAGCTCGACATGCCAAATTTAATTTTGTCCAAGTCAAGAAGATTGGAAAGTACTGTGGCAGCCAATGGCTCTGAAACAAAATATTAATAACACTCTTCTTGCTATAGCTGTTAAATTTCGAGGAGAACATTGTGTTCATTTTCATTAGAGACTTAATATTCTGAGTTAAATGTAATTTGTTGTTATAAACATTCAAGTAGTATTATCCTTATTTAATACAAGATTGTTTAATGTAAACCATTGGTCTGAAATTATTAACACCAAAAAAGCTGTTGGATTTCATTAAAAAAAATGGTATCATCGGCATAACTAACAGTGCTGCAAATACTGTGATCAATGCCATGAATAAAGTTATCTGAATAGATGATGAATAGATCAAGGCCTAGTATATTTTTTTGTAGTATCCCAATATTTGCATCGCTTTAATGTTATTTTTTACTACCACTTTATAACTACCGTTTTTTATTCTGAAAGTATGATTTAATCCAGTTAAAAATAGGTCTTTTACCTTCATACCTTTCCATCTTTGTCAGAAGAATATTGTGATATTATATTTAATAAATGTTATAGTATAAGAGACAACGGTTTGCCAAACCCTATATGATCTTTAAAGCACCAATTTTCATATTTCTTCATGCATGGAGTAATTGCTCTTACGACTAACAATATTTTTTTTTTTCAAATTTCGATTCCGCCTCTGTGCTAAACAACCCTTCGATTGCGAATGCATCCCACCAACCGAGGAGGTATATTCAAAATCAACTGGAGATCTCTCCTGGAAGCCTTGATTGTTATTTACTATGCGTTTCACACGGCAGATATTTATCTGCGAAAGTGTTGAGAATATTTACGGAAAAGCGACAAGAGGAAAATTCTCAGCCGTGAACGAACCAATTTATTCGTTCAAGTGAACAAGAATTGATTGGCCGACTAATATTTCCTCCTTTTTTTGTGTTTAGATTTCAGGCTTTGTTTGTTTTTACCTTTTGCTAAGATATATTTTAAAGTTTATTTATTTAAACTTCCACAATGAAATAGCGGAATAC